AAAAGTAATGTATATGATAGTATTTATCATGCAATAAACACTGAAAGCAATCTAGGTTTAACATTAAAAATTTTTATTTTTACAAATATAATGTTTAAAATATTTACAAATTAACTTAGAATCAATGGTAGAGATTACTTTAAGATACAATAAAAGGTCAAGACCACCCCTTGAGGGCACGTGCTCATCAGACGGATCCGTATTTTGGTGGGGCCGAGGATTGATGCTCTCAAAACCTTTACTTTTTGCTTGGTTAATTTCTGATTATGAAACCAAAAGTAACGTATCATGACAGTGATCCGTATGCTTTTCACATATATTGGATAAGATGTAGCTGGCTTCTGAAAATCTTCACCCATCAACCGTACGTTTTGTATATTTAAATCACTTTTTTAAAAATCGAATCGGGCCGGTCAGTTGGACCAATTAAACTGTTAACTGGTCTGATTCAAAGGAAAAAATCATTTTAAGAATTGAGCCGGTTTGAGCCGTTTCGAACCTGCGGTCGGACCGAGAACCGAAATCAAGCCGGGAACCGGATCCGATTTTCAAAAACTGAACTGTTCAAATTTTTTTTATTTTTTATCAAATTTTTTTAAAAAAATGACTAATTTTTTTAATCATTTGATATTATATTTTATCATATGGCTTTTTAAGTCATGATAAACTTAAAATATTTAATTTTTTTAAGTTAAATAGCAATTTCATATGTATTTCTTATATTTAAATTATTATATACATATATAATTTTTTTAATTTCATTATTACGTCACCAGTTGGACCATTGGTCCAACCAGTTGAACCATGCGAATCGTGAACCACTGACTTTTTCGATTCAATGTCCGATCCGGTTCTGAAAACATTGATTTAAACAAGATATTCCTTAATATTATATTCTTCTCGATCTCTATTTAAAACATGAACACTCTTTTTTCTTTTAACTTTGAAAGACAATCAAACGGGGTGTTTTCTATTGATAAAAAGCAGAGGACAAGATTTACAAAACCTTCACTGCCGAATCGTCTTCTAATGGCTAAGTACTAGCTTCTCTTCAATTTGGTTTTGAATTTATGTTTTTAAATCAATATATCAACATGTATAATAAAATTTAAAACAAATATGGTAGCGCTACTTGTTCTCATTAAAAAATAATATGACTTGATTTGAAACTTTTAAGCAAACCCTAATATTTAGTTAATCTTCTAAAAGTGTTCAGATTATGGCAAACAATAAATGATCGAGTTAATTTACATAGTAAGTACCGAGACAAAATGCTATTGACACACGTACGTAGTTTTTAGCATGTACTCATCACCCTCCAACTATAAGCCCAGGATCACGAAAATATGTCAAAAGTTTTTTTTTTTTTTTTGGGGGGTGCGATGGCAGCTCCCTGAAAGACTATTTTGCTACATTTCCTTTTAGTTTTCTAAAAATTAGACACATTTTTTCATACATTGTACAAGGGTTTGATTGTTTCAAGTGATGAGTCATGCTATCTATTATTGATTATTCTGAACTCAATAACTAAAATATACAGAATTCCCGCACCATTATTACTCTTTAATAACTGAAACTGGATAACAAATTTTTAAGGAGCGCGAAACATGTACATACCTCCACTGCAAATTATAAAATAATTTTAAAGGAATTTCATTATTCCAAAATTAAATACAAGATAATATAAATTTTTTTATTAATGATACCTTTTAATATTATTTTTCAAGTATATAGAACACTGAAATAATATTGTATGGTAATAGTTAAGTTTGTAGGTGCATTTTCAAAAGTTTGTAGTTTTGTTTTTAAAAAAATAAATTTATAAAATGTCATTGTGTTTTATTGATATGTGTAATTTTGTCTCAAATTATCTTATATAATTTGAGATGAAAAGAATATTTATTTAGGATCAAAAAGTGAAAATATGAGTTTTTGAAAAATTAGCAAGTATCCTTCAAGAAAAAAGAAGATAATGATGAAGTTGTTTCATGAAATTTTGGACATAGATGTTTTTGCACGGTGAATGCATTTTTTTTTAATGAAAAATCAATTCTACCCCTTCCAAAGACTCAACCTTTCGACCGTGATAGTTCCAATTTCCAAACGAATTGCTATGACCAAAAAAAAAAAAGGATCTTTTGTGAAGGGTGGGAATCAAAGTCAAAGGTTAGGACCCCATTATCGCATCCATATTTGTTTAATTTTAATTAACAATTCTCGTCGGGGTTAATAAATTATTTTGGTCAGATGGTAAATAAAACCCAGTTTTCATCTTGCTTGCACTGTGGAATCAAATCTAATTTTACTATTTTTCCTTGGATCTTAATTATATAACAGAGTTGATTGATTCTAATTCATGATTCTTAAAAGTTGTGGCTAATCACATGGTGTAGTTTGGAGATCCGTCGATGTTTATAGAGCATGATGATGAGTAATTGATAGTAATGAGACGTTCAGAAGTTCTTCAATTTGTTTGCTTGTTTGTTTTTTTCTCTCTTATAAAGATGTTCAGAAGTTCTGTACATGTGAATCAGGGATACAGTTTCGGTGCTCGCGATTTAAAAAAATTTGGGCCATTTAAATTTTAATATGAATGATCCAAATTTTTTTAATTTTAATTTCAACTTTATTTTTATATTTTATAAAAATAAAATTTATAAATTTTTTTGATAAATATATTTATTATTAATTTGGACAATACTGATTCAATTTGAGACTTTAGATAGTTGAATTTAAATATTATAATTTTTATAAACTAACTATTTATATGTACTTTGGACAAGACATATTCAATATTAAATTTTTTAGCAATTTTTTATTTTAATAAATATAAAATAAAAATAAAAATAAAAATTTTAAATCTAGACTTTGTAGATGAAAATTTAATAATGAATTTAGAGTATCCAGAATATATCTAAATAGTTATTTTATAAAAATTATAAAAATAAATTGAATTATCTAAATTAAATCAGTACTGTTCAGATTGATGATGATTATATTTATAAAAAAATTATAAAATTTATTTTATAAAATAAAAAATTTAAAAAATTTAGACCATCCATATTAAAATCTGAATGACTCAAATCTTCTTGGGTGATTTGCTGGACTCTGAAACCGGCTCCGGGAATGAGCCATTAATGATGTACAGTATGGTTTCAGCATGCCAAGTTTCAAATAACTAGTGTCCATTAAGCACGTGATTAGTATTCTTTGACCAAAAAAAAAAAAAAAGCACGTGATTGTTATTCGCAGCTGAAACTAATTAATTATTAATGTATTCATTCATGATTCTCAGTATAACTAGCAGCTTTTCCATAAGCCCATAAAATGAACTAGAGATAAAATTAAAGTACACCTTCCTCTTCAGTTTCTTTTCACACTTTTTTGTCTACATATTTATTTTTTTTTGAGATCGAGTCAAATTTAAGAACAAAAGGGAACTTACCCCTGAAAATTGCCCCCTCTGTTTTTGGGAAAAAAAAAGGTAGTGTTTTTGCATGACTATCTGTGAAAGAAAGTATTCACACCTTTGAATTACATGCTATAATTTGTCAGTAACATGTTTTAGCACCAACTGTCTGCATGTTCATATTGAGCCAATCGATCTCCACTTTATAAAATCGTAACATACTCATGAATTATATTTTAAAGACTTTTGAAGGATTTTTAGGAGGAATTAGACATACTCCATTCGTTAAAAAATACAAGATATTTTTAATTAAATTTTACTATTTAATAAAGTAATTATTTATTTTTAAATTAACATCATCTTTTTGTATTTACACTAATTTAATAAAATATATTTTATTTTAAAATAAATATAAAATGATTTATTCATTAAGGATACTTTAAAAAAATATAATGATTATATTTTAAAATATTATAAATACTTTATATTTTTAAACATGTAACCCTTCAAAAAATATAAAAAGAAAGAGTATTTATTTATTTTTTTGTATGAATTTAATGGATGAACAGAAGCTTAGAGGATTGGCCGATAGGGTTTGGCCAAGGGAAGCCGAATAAAAAATATGTGTGGGGTATTAAGGTATCTTTCAAAGTTGGATTTAATCAATTTTTAGAATTGTTTATCTTACTTTTTTGGTAAAAAGAGTTTTTTTAATTTTTTTATAAAATATAAAATATTAAGTGCAAGTGAAAACGGTGAAGTTGGCAATAAAAAAAAAAGATTGTTGGCGCTAGCAAACTACCACTACCATAGGTGTGTCTGACCCAGTAAAACCGCAGGAAGCAGCGAGTATAGGGTCGCCACGTCAGGTCAAAACAGTCAAGTTGATCAACACGTGGCTGTTGTTCCTAAAGGATCAGTGTCACGGCCGTCATGGCAAACCCTCTCGCTTCACACGCTTTACCCATCCGCTCCCTCAGCCTCCCAGTACATTTAATCGTCACGTATGAGTCACGCGACCTTCCCCCGTCAAACACGCCTTGGCTGACCTTCCCATTGGCCATTTCCAAGCCCCGTCGCTTTGTTGTCAACCTTGAAACGCCACTCCCACTAATCCTCTCAGTTTTACTCATGAAATTTCACGGCCTAATGATAAGCAAATACTAATACTCGAGTGATGGAATCTGGCCGCGCTGTCCTGTTCCACTCAACGTCACTCTCTTTTGCTTCGAACGCGTATTTGCTCGCTAACAACTGATTAATTAAGACAAGACTCATTACAATCCCCACCACAAGTTTAAACAAATTTTTCTATGGAAAAAGAAAAAAATTGTATACGTTTGGGACACGGCGTAGGTGTCCACGCTCTACGGCTCTAGAAGGAGCGAAGAGGTGTGGTTCACGCGAGAAGGCAGAAAGTGGAAAAAGGACAGTGAGCTGAGCCCTGAACGTAGGGTCGGCGTTGTCAATCGTTACAAATGCCAAGCGCTACGTAACGACTCTATACTGCTTCCGTTACCGTTATCGTGCGTGCATATACTTCCGTCCATCTGCCTCCCCTTCCCCTCTATATAAACCATTTCGGTCCTATCTCCTTCAACTTGCGGCTCAGAATTTCGGCTCCCCTCCCAAGAGTCGTAATTATACTCTATACAAAATACTCCCGCCTTCTTCTTCTTCTTCTTCTTCCCGTTGAATTCCAGTCATCTCTTAGGTAATTTCTTCTACTTTCTCACTGATGTTCTCCATCATTCTATGGGTGTTTCTGAAATATGAATATCAAATTCACTGGAACCAAAAATAAATACACACCGTTACACTCGAAACGCCTCGTCTGCTTGTGTTTATTTTCTGTGAAAGCAATCAGTAAGGGGTCGGTGTTCTCGTGATATGCGTATTTTTTTTTAATTAATTTGAGCCCTATTCAATATCTCTTACTTTGAATGCGGCCTGTGAGTTGCTTTTATCATCTGTGATTTCTCTTCTCTTGCATTTGTCTGTGAAAGATTGAATTACAGCGACATTCGTTTATGCTTCTCGTATTTTCGAAAGCTGTCTGGGTCAAGAGTAGGTTTTCCTTCTCGATGTTTTCGTTTAATCTGCAGGTAATCGATTAGATGGGAGAAAAGCTTCGGGGTTGTGACAAATTTTCTGCTTGGATAGGATTGTTTATTTAAAATTTCCATGTGAGAATACCTTTCTGGTTGGGGCCCAGCGATCAACGATTAAACAATTGCTGTGTTAATTCACCCCCATATTGCTGTGTTCGCTTCTTTCGACTTAAAATCTCTCATACATAAAGCGCCTGCGTTTTTGGTTCTGAAGCACAATTCTAAACTAGTCATTTGATAAAAATTACATGGTTGACAGCGGTGTTAGAATTGTTATTTTGTAAATCAAATCCTGATATGTAGTCCAGTTTCCATCTCACCCTGTATTGTTTTGGGGATGATATCCATAATCCATTACAACTGCCCTTTTTAAAAAAAAAAAAAAGATTTTTTTTTAAAAAAAACAGCTGCCGAGCACCCCTCGGACTCCCCCAACCTTTTTTGTTTGGGCCGGGGACCCGGGGGGGGGGGTTGTGTGGTCTGCTATAAGGCAATATGCTTGCTGAATCAGTTGGCCTTGCTATGTGTGCGTCTTGCTTTGTGTTAATTTACACTCTTCCTTTTATAATTGTCCATGGATAGCGTTAGATCAAATGCTTTTGTGGGTGGTGTAATGAAGATATTCACAAATTTTCTCACACTGTTGATATCACAGGTTTAGCTCCTATTTTATCCCAAGAATTTCTGGGTTGAAGTGCAAAGCCGATACTTCCCTGTTTTGCTTCTTATCTGCCCTGCTAAGTTCTCTTCTCGCACAGAAAGGCTGATGCCTTGATCCTAGTATGGACTCGCAGCAGCTATTCAGTTTCAGTTTGACTGAGTCTGGGCTTCCATACACGCCATCTTATTCCACTATTCCAGCACTACCCAACAGGCTTCTCGGATGCTTGAAATTTGACACAGGAAACTCGCCTAATTCACCCTTGTCTACTCAATTTGATTCTGATTCTCTCTCTACATTGAGCGACGGCCAGGAGCAGCACGGCTCTGGGGAGATTCTTTCTGGTTTCAGCCCTTCTTATAACTCTTCTCTGGAAACTAATTATTACTTAAAGAGGTCAGTCTCACCGGTGGACCGTGTCCAAGACAGTCTGCATCCGTATTTTGCTAGGAGGTCTCTTGCACAGGATGCAAGTTCTAGCCAAAAGATCAGGCACGCATTACTGGAGTTAGAGTCCGCTCTGATGGCCCCTATTGATGGTGATGTAGTTATCACATCGAATGCTTCCTTGAGTGGCAATAACAGACCTACAACTTCTGGCCAAAGATACGGGACTTGGAGCCATGAGAGCCAAGGGTCACAATATATTCAAAGCCAGCCATCTCTTGTTTCTAGCATTAGGCAGTCAAATGAAGTTGCACATGTAGATAACCGTCACAGACTGATGGAGGAACCATGGCTCCAGGGCTTCCCACCTAGCAATTTAAAGGAATTGTTGATCGCTTGCGCCAAATCCCTCTCTGAATGCAACATAAAAGTTTTTGATGAGTTGATTGAAAGCGCTAGAAGTGCCGTGTCCATCTCTGGTGAGCCAATCCAGCGGCTCGGTGCTTATATGGTAGAAGGGCTTGTTGCTAGGAAGGAGGCATCAGGGAATAGCATATATCACGCACTCAGGTGCCGAGAACCTGAAGGCAAAGACCTGCTCTCTTACATGCACATGCTGTATGAAATTTGCCCATACTTTAAATTTGGTTACATGGCTGCAAATGGAGCCATAGCTGAAGCTTGCAGAAATGAAGACCGCATTCACATCATAGACTTTCAGATTGCTCAGGGAGTTCAGTGGGAGACACTCCTCCAAGCTCTTGCCGCAAGGCCATGTGGGGCACCCCATGTCCGGATCACCGGAATCGATGATCCTGTGTCTCGATATGCACGTGGTGACGACATAGATGCAGTTGGGAAGAGATTGACCTCAATATCAAAGAAATATGGCATCCCAGTTGAGTTTCATGGAGTGCCTGTGTTTGCGCCTGAAGTAAAAAGGGACATGCTTGATGTACGGCCAGGAGAGGCTTTGGCTGTGAACTTTCCCCTGCATCTGCATCACACAGCTGATGAGAGTGTTGATGTGAACAATCCGAGGGATGAACTTCTGAGAATGGTGAAGTCACTTGGTCCCAAGGTGACCACATTGGTGGAGCAGGAATCCAACACAAACACAACGCCTTTCTACAACAGGTTCTTAGAAACATTGGACTACTACCTGGCCATGTTCGAGTCAATTGATGTTACGCTCCCAAGAAATAGCAAGGAGCGGATTAACGTGGAGCAGCATTGCTTGGCGAGGGACATCGTGAACGTCATTGCTTGTGAAGGGAAGGAAAGGATAGAGCGACACGAGCTGTTGGGAAAGTGGAAATCAAGGTTGACAATGGCTGGATTTCGACAATATCCATTGAGCTCGTACGTGAATTCTGTGATCAGAAGCCTGCTTAGGTACTATTCAGAGCACTATACACTCGTGGAGAAGGATGGGGCTATGTTGTTGGGGTGGAAACACAGAAATTTGATATCTGCCTCGGCCTGGTATTGATGAACTGATGGTTGGAGGCGGTAACGGGGTAAGTCAAGTATTTCGCTGACTCTTCTAGTTTATGTTGAATACAATGTATGTTACTGTATTATAGGTGTCTGTTCATTGAGAGAGTATATGCACTAGTAGCTCTGTATACCGATTCTTTTATCAAATTTCTAGCAGCACAGGCTGTTTTGGTCTACAAGATGATAAAAATAATAAAACATTTATTTTCGCAAATGATTCTGGAGCCTCGAGGTGTTGGCTCAACCAAATACACATCCCAACAGTAACATGACATTCCAGGCAGCAGCCTCATGACTGCTTGATCTACACGCATTTTTTTTCCCCCGAAACGAGTCACATTATCCATCATTTACTCTAGAGAAGCAGTTAAATACAGAATCAGCAGGTCCATCGCATACAATACGAGCAAACTTTGCCACTTGGAAGCATCGAGATGAAGGGAACAGAACTTTATTTTCCTAAAACGTTTAAAAATAAATCCAAGTTGGACCGTGCTTTCCAATAGAATCGAAGAAGCCGAAGCCAACAGTGTAACACCCTAAATGAGATTGGGCGTTAGATGAGATTGGTTTACATGTTGGGCCCCAAAAAAAAAAAGACAAAAAGAAAAATAATAATAATTAAAGAAATTAAATTTATTAAATATTTAAAACTAACTTATAAAAAAATAGTAATAATAATAAGAAATATGATTTAGTTTTGAAATATATCAAATCTTCTTAGAATTATCTTTAAATTTGTTTTATCTAAAAGAAATTTTTTAAAAACTAAATGAAAAGAAAATTGAGTTTAAACTTTATAAATTCAACCTGTCCTAATTAATAACAAAAACCTAGTTTGCATCTCTTGCTCCCTCATTTAACGTTTGCTCTGCTGTTGCCGCCGATAAGGTAAATTCAGCTCTCACATCATTGCTTTGTCTACCAAAACTCTTGCCTTTTTACATCCTTCCCTTCCTTCTTTAATTCCTTTCCCGTTCGTTTGCTTTTTGATTCTCTTTCTCCTTTCTTTTCTTTTCATCTTGTGCGTCCGCATCGGAGATACACACATGTGAATAGTTTCCAGCCCATATATAGATGACGTTCACACTTTGGAAGACATGAATGGCGCTAGCTGTAATTACTGGTGGATCATACTATCCATGTTCCATGCTAGGAGCTTTTTGAAGTTTTTACCGTTGGCTCTTAGCTTCCTTTAATTATTTTGTTGCTTGATCTCCCCCTCCCCCGGGTTTTTTTTTTTTTGAAATCTGACCTATTTTATTTGATAATCTATTTTGGATAAGTGTTCCCCTTTCCACGAAATAAAAAGTAATAAAATTGTTCTTCCCTTTTCCTTGCTACGTCCAAAATAGGAAATTTGGGACAGTTAGAAACATTAAAATTTAATATTCGTCATCTCTTATTTGGGTCGTGTGGGAGTACACATAACTAAACGCATAGATAAACTCACACACACGTATATAGACATAGTATGAATTTAGATTATAAATAGAGGTGATTTTTTTTAGAATTTCCATAAATTTAATATTAACACGTCACATATTATTATAACAAACAAATAATTATAAAGGGATGTAAATTTAAAAGGGAATTTTGGGTTCTCTTGAATCGCTTTAATATCATAGAATAATCTTAGGGCAGTCTTACAGTAGCTTTAGGATAATTCTTTAATAATTTTAAATTATATATTAATAATTTTATATATATGTGACTTTTGTAAACTCTTGCTAAGAGTTTTTTGCTGCCTAAGTTGATGTGTAACCATTTATAAGCTAAAAGAGAACATGTAACTTGAGGTTTTTCCATGTATGTGCAAGCTATATTTGGTACGGTGATTTTATTCAAGTATTTCTCATGTATCATTTTATCTATTTGAGTATGATACTTTTATATAGACTATAAAAGTGCGTGTGATAAATTGTGAAGAAATTGTAAGGAATGTGATTATGAAATTTAATGAGTTACTTTAATCTTGCCTAGCATGATTGTGACTTATAGTTATGATTCAATGAAGTAGTGGATTCCTTTTAAAGCTTGCATGTAAGTTGTTATTAGTGTATATGCATGATGTGCATTGGTGAGGGGTTCAGGGGATGAGCTATTGATGTTACTATATATATGATTCAGTGACCATGTAGTTTGTCTTCACTTTATGCATAATGGTTGGTCTTATACAGGGCCCCATTTCTTAATACTTACCTGACTAGGTTTGTAAAGGGGGAACGTAACGTTGGGTTCTTTAAGAAGGGGAGCTATACTTTTGGACTTAGGCTCTGTACCTTTGGGTGGATATATCTTGAATTTCAGAGATGCTTTAATTAGTCTAGCGTGTGGATAAGCCTATGGTTTCAATCAGTGGTACAAGGTTGGATAAAGCAATAAGGGATTGCCTATTTTGCGTATGATCATGTGTTGCATCTAATGGTTATGAAATTTGTTATTTAAGCTTTTATGCTAATACCTAAATAATCTTAATGAAATTGCATGTATGCCTATATTATGTTATCTTGTGTGTTTGTTAGTTGTACATCTATGATAAAATTTTGAATTACTGAAAGCTCACCCCTTTCCCTAATATTTTTTAGGTGAACTAAGCGGAGCAAAGGGGAAGCGACCAAAGATTTGAGTGTAACATCCTCAAAAATTTAAACTTGATTAATTAAGCCTAATTAAAGTAATTAAGCTTATTACTAAGGTGTGTGGCCAGATAGTTCTAACGGGCATTTTGGTTGTAATTCTAGCCCTAAGTATGGGCTTGAAGTAAAGTTAGGTTACCCAGATATGAAAGAGAAAAAAAATATGAAGGGCAAGGTTTTGTGCCACATGTCACAGCTTCTGGATGATCTTCTATGAAACATGTGTGTTAAGCACTTGAGCAAGACTTTTCTATACTATATGTTGTGATGCATGGTCACTTTTTTATAAAAATAACTCCGTTTTGCAGCTTGTGAATTTGAGAGAAAAGGAAGAGAAATAAAGAGAAACACAAGGGAGTTCTACTAGGGCTCAAGGAATTTGGATATTGGGAGCATATTGAAGCTAGAAAACACTCAAGGTAAAGTTTTTAAACTCATTTTTTTCCCATTTCTTCCATTTTATTGATGTAAGAAGTTAGGGTTTAGTTGAAAATGATAGTTTTCAATCCATATAGCTATGGATCCAAATTCATTGACTTAAATATAGTCAATGAGAGTTATTTAAGTTATGTAAATCTAGCATTTATGACTCTATGCATTTTTAGTTGTTGAAGGTTATTAATGAATGAAAATCCACTGTTAATGAGGTGGTTTGGACAATGTGACTGTATTAATGGTTATTTAAAAGTTTAATAAAGTTAATGCGAGTTAAAGAAAACTAATAAATCTTATGGACACCCTTGCATGGGAAAAGATTGAATCTTAGGAGTGAGGAAAGATTGAGTTAATAGTAAAAATAATCCAAAGAGGGTATTAATGAATTATATTATGATTAATTATAGAGTGATTATACTGACACTATTCAAGCTTCATGAAAGCTTTAGAAGTAAATATTTGAGAGATAAAACCTTTAATCTCTCAAAAGTTTGAAGTAACCTGGAGAATTTTTTCTTGTACTTTTGTGTGTTAATTGATTTATTGAGTTATATTGATAATTAAAACGTGTAGAATTGAATAAAATGCAAGTGTGGCATGATTTGCTTGAACATCTACTTTGATGGTTTTATGAAGTTCAGTGACTTGTTGTGTAAAAAGTGCCATGAAATAGTGTTTTATAAAGCTCTATGATGTGATGGTTGAGAAGTTCAATGAATATGTGCACTATGAGAAGTTCAACGATTGTGTGATATGAGAAGTTTAATGACTACTTGTAAATGGAGTTTGATAATTGTGTGTTTTGGAAAGTTCAACAATGATGCATAATGTGAAATTCTATGATTAATTATGAATATGTCTAATGAGAGTACAATAAAATGATTGAGCATGTTTAAATAGTGAGTACTTATATACTATGAGTTATTGCATATTTATGCATTGCATGGTTACGAGAGGTGAGAGTTTGCCTAGGAAGAAGAGTAGAGAATTACATGCACGTGATATGGCTTCCATTAGAACTCAATGGTTAGCCTAGATTTATAATTTATATTGTCCTACTTGTTTAATAAAGAATTGTCCCATTAGTTTAACAAGTAACTCAAGCTTAGCTAGTTGTCCACATGTTTGATGAGAAAACTAATCTAGAGAGAATGATACCTCGTAATGTGAAAAATGAGGGGAATCATGACCCACAAGTAAGTTAGAAAACCTTAACTAGGTAACCTCTCATGTATGTTTTGGTTAGGGCGGTCTCAATGTGTAGACTATCCCAATGAGTTATAGCCCACAGTTTCGTGTCAGAGAAATAAAGATGATTTAAGGGAGGTGTGATTATGCATATATTAATAAAAATGGCGTTGTTTCTATTGTGACCCTAATGATGAAAAACATGAGTTTTTTATTATTATAACTATGTGAAAATGTAATAATAGATCTTGTGATTGGATCTTATTTCCATGAAAGAGATAGTATCACTAAATCATTAACTTATGATTATGTGTTTCTACAAATGAGAATTATGAATTGCGTGCTTGAATATGTTTACTAATTGGAAAATATTATTCTCGTCACTTGCATTTAAATTGATTGATATGTATTAGCATGAGTTGGATAGATCTTAATTACTGAGTGGTTGTACTCACCTCACTATCTTCAATATTACAAGAAGCTTAAGGGGCCAAGATAGAAGAAAACAGCCGGAGGCATAGGATTGTCATCCTATTAGCAGGCCTCCTTACTTTTAAGTATTTATGTGTATATTTTGAATGATATTGCTAACTAGTTATAATTCAATTGTGACTTACTTGCACTACATATTTTGTTAAGTTATATAGTGTATTTTGGGACTTAGGGTGTATGTGTGTGGATTGTGAGATTTATAGCGGGGCCAAAATATTAATGCAAGTAAGAATTGTGTATGATATGCGAATTATGATGCTTTAATAGTTGAATTATTTGATTAGAGCTCCCTCCTTTGTTTTTAAAATTAAAGGGTTTAACAATAAAAATGTGGTTTATAAGCATTGTGAGTGATGTGGTACTTTGTACAAGTCTATTTTAGTCTATTGACTGGAGTTTGAGTGGTGTTTGTGGCTTTTGACTTTTGATATGAGCTTTGGGCACTCAAATTTTATGTGAATAGTGAAAAAGATAAAATTTTGAAATGAGTGTCTAAATTTTTACTGAGAGATAATTTGACTGTGAAATCAAAGCCATCAGCTAGAGTTAAGAAAAAACTCTTTTTAGACACCTAAATCGCGTTATTCAAACGTTAGATAAAAAAATGAGGTATGTCAAAAACTACCTTAGGGGTTGTCAAATGGCAGCAAAATCTTGCTGTCAAATAGCATGTAATACGCCATGGTGTGTTGTGCCTGAGCCGCGGTGCATGGCGTAAAGGCTCACGAGCCACGATGCAAGTGTAATGAGCCGCGGCACACGCCTTAATTTCTATTTTGTTTCACTATTTTTTAATTTTGAGCAAATACACTGATATTTTTTGTGATTCTCATTCTTTGGCATACAAATCAAACTCTGATATTCAGTTTCTAAAGATCTTTTAGGATGTTTTAAATATTAAAAACTTAGGATTTTATTTGTAAAATTTGACAAGCATGTCACTTGCCCTGAGATAGTCTCTTAATTAATTGAGATTTAGAGTTAATTATGGAATAGTGAGGGAGATTTTACATCGAGCTTAGCTTGAGTAAGCCTTGAGCCCTACTTTAAATTAGTTTATGGAATAATCATTTGTCAATTTAGAACTTCTTTGTCATTTAGGATTAATTTGTTAATTTTTTTAGATTGATCTATTTGAAGTAAATGTTTTATTATAAAACTTTTGTAGCGAGACTTTTACTAAGAAATACTTACTTGCGTATTTGTTATGGGATGCGACATGTGTATTTGCTAACTTTGATAAACCTATGTATACTTTATGAAAAGAAATATTAGCATTACACTTTTATAATTTTGGTAGCCATTTTTAACTATTTTAAATCCTTTTTACTAAGGTTAACTTGTAAGTACGTATTCATTAGTTGAATCTTTTCATAACAATATAGCTCTTTAAAATTTAAATTAACTTTTTCTGCCATTGATACCTTTTAAAAGAATACAAATAAAAATAAAATTTAGGATTGATTTTAAACTTTTATATTATGATAATTATTTTTATTGCTTTAAATATTTTTATTATCATGATACATGATTAAGTTTTTAGTTAATGAAGTTGGGGTTGTTACAAACAGTAATAGCAAGAGGCAGCAGTGGCCATTGCCACCAACAGGAGCACAGGCATTCCAACTGAATTTTCCATCTTGTGCAATAATGCAGCCCGGCAATCCAAATCCAATTGACTTGGTCCCTTAACAATAATATATTACTTTTGTTCGAGATATCAACCACTTAACCCAGCTGCTTAATTTACTATTCACTAATCTGCAGGAATTCATTAGGCGGTGCTGCTTAATATTCAGTTGTTGTTACTTATTCGGGTTTGAAAGGCCTAACATGGTCGGACCCATTTCTCATTATGTCTTTTGGAAGGCCTCACATTGTTTGGATCTAATTGTTGTCAACCCATGGTAGTGTTTTAACCTGGGCCAAATGCTGTGCATGGATTAATTGTCATTGGACGGTTGGATTTACACCTTAGCTTGCTCGCATGGCTTTCAATCTTCATCTTGTCATCCGCCTCTGTAGTTTGTGGACACTCTCCAGAACCACTCTAGGGATGCTCAGTCCAATAAGACCTGTTTTGTATCTCGGGACTAAGTCTTTTGTACTTTAATTTCCTTTTCCATAAAAAAAAAAAAACAGAAAGACAGGTCGATAAATGAATTTCCATTGTTTGAAAACCAAACATGCACTAAAATCATCATTATTGTTTTTTTTTTATGTCGTGCAGTGCCATATTATTTGTTTTTTAACTAAAACAGTTTAGATTAAATAAGGCCGTAACTTTTTTAATTTTAATATCGTTTTTAACAATCTTTAATAATTTCTCAGTGAATTTAAAACCTAATCGACTTGTAATAGGCTAACAGCTAAACTCATGGGGGACACAACACCAATACCAAAATTTGGCCATTTCTTTACGTTATATTATCAACTTTTAGGAAATTAGTTACTATCCTCTAAAAACACTTAAAAGCGAAAATGCGCTTAAATATAAAGTCAATTTGAAATTAACAATCAGTATTAATGTCCATTATATTAGTCACGGGTTGATTTTGCAATGATTTTAACACTTGATGAGCAACATTATTCCGTTGAATAGTTTAGAATGGTTAGTGTTTATTGTGAAACAGTTTAGTTTGGAGTAAAAATGTCCTTTAAATCAAAAAATTATTAATAAAATGGTGTGTTCATATAGGCCAATAGGAAGGGAATACCAGTCCTTTCATGGTTTTTTTTTATTTATATTTTTTACACGCATGAAGCACTTACAAAAATAGCAACGTAAATTTGTTCTGCGAAATCTAATTATTTATATTAGAAAAGCAGGCCTTCATTTTCAGTTTTAATTTATCCGTTTCAATTCATTATTGATGCAAATTGGGTGAAAAATAGGGCCCTGATGATAACTCAAAAACAGTCCCAATGGTTAATTTTACACTATACATCATCCACCAGAGTAGTTTCAAGCTAAGCTTCAAACTTTGAATCTAAAGGTAGAAATTCATTTCCTAACTACATATATCATCTCCCTATCTAATTGCTTCATACTGATCTCTCCATTACATTGCCTTGATATATTATAATTAATTTTTTACAGGCGATGACGAGTGATATAAATAAATAGCAATATATGCACATAATTAAGGCCTTCTAACTAATAAAGCTAAGCAAACAAGCAACTCGCATCTGATTTATTTATAGTTTATACATTCTCAACCAAAAATGTCTTCCGCAAGTCACACCGTCCCCTGGCCGATTTTTAGTCCCAATATGGCAATATCTGCGGTCCCATTTCATCAACCTCGCTTCTCCTACTCTGTTGGTGAACTCTTTGCTTTCACTATTTTTGCTACGTTCTTTTAGATGTCTTACCATTAATTTTGAAGAACCAGAATGGAGAACTACAAGTCCAACATCATTTGAAGGGGAGAGTTCGAAATAAAGCTGATACTAGCACCAGCTGAGGATCCTACCGAAAAGCTGAACTTGATCGACAGTTTTAAACGTTGAGGTGTGTCTTATCATTTTGAAAGTGAGATTGACCAGGCATTGCAGAATATGCACAAGAACCCTCCACCTTTTGAACCCAAAGATCTCCACACCATTTCCCTCTAGTTTCGTTTGCTCAGGCAATAAGGCTATCCTGAACCATCCGGTACCCTCTACCCTTTTTTTGTTTAACTAGTTCTCATACAAGTTAATCACTACACCTTCTCGTTTCTGAAAGCGAGACATGTATACATGTAATATATTTGACTGATTCAGGGATGAAAATGAAGATTTTAACAAGTTAGCGATGTAGGATGCATTGGGAATGCTAAGCTTATATGAGGCTGTGCATTTTAGCATCCTTGGAGTAGATGTTCTCGACCAAGCTAATTCACTTTACTAATTATTACCTAAAGTCAAGATTTATATTCGGTGGGTGTAAGCATTAAGTAACTATATTATCTGAATTATTGAAATACTATATGCACTTAGTACTTTATTAAGTGCAGTTATTAAATTCAAATCCCAATGAGATTGTACATTTTAACGGTTGAGTGCCACGTCTTATACATCATGTGTTGTTTTATGCATCATGAGACTTGCACGTGTCTTGATTTTTGACCTCGGAGTTTTGCACATGCGGTGGAAAGAATTGAATTTTGCCAAAAGCCTGCCTTTTGCTGGCGAATAGATTGGTGGAATGTTACTTTTGGATCTTGGGAGTGTATCATGGGCCCTAATATGTTTTGGGTATAAGGATAACCGCCGAAGTAATATCCATCGCAACGGTCCTTGACGATATATATGACATTTATGGCACACTCGGAGAGCCACAACTTCTCACCGCAGCAATTGAGAGGTTTAATTGAAGGATAAAGAAATTTTAAGTCTTTTAAATTCATATCTTAATTATCAATTTAGTTTCATAAATTTTATTTTTATTAATTAAGTCCCTAAAGTTTTATAATGATATACATAACTATATATGTGGTGTTATTTTCCCTTCAAATCATATTGTCTAGTTTTTTGTGATTACGAAACTTTAAGTGCTTGATTGGTAAATATCAAATCTTTGGGATCAAATTGATAACTGAGGTAAACTTGAGAATTAAAATGTTTATTATTCCTTTAATTGAATACATGAAATTAATAAGCAAATGATATGAGATCTTTTGGATTATAAAAATTCATTTTCAGAGGGAATTTAGTTATCATAACAACTTCAGCGACAATTTGAGAAAATTGGATTCAAGGTGGGACATAAGTTGCATGGAAATTTTGCCGGAATAAATGAAATTTTGTTACCAGGAATTGTTTGAATGTTTATGAAGAAATCGAGCAAGAGACGACCAAGGAAGGAAGAGCTTTCTGAAAGATGAAGACACGTACTAGTTTGTACTAATTCCAGTTTTACGATTCAGGCACTTCAATTATTGTTTTGTTATTCTTCTCATTCGATCATCTCAAATTTTGGTGAATGCCTCAAAATTTAAAATATATAATTTACAAGACATTATTGATCAAATTGTTGTGAATGGTGATGGCATGGCGCACAAATAAAATGGTTGGTCCAAGCATACTTTTTGAAAGCAAAATGGGTATATAAAAAATTATATAAACACCAACAATAATGGTCAATGGAGGAGTACATGCAGGGGCGAATCCAGCCCTAACAACTTTTAGAGAAAATTGTTAATTTAAAATTTTTAAGATTTATCATACTGAATTTTTTAAAAAATTAATTTTATGAGTTAAAAAATTATTAGATAACAAATCATGTATAAATATATAACTTTTTTAGAAAAAATTTAAAATGCCCAATTTGAATATCAAATGATGATCCATTTTTACCCCTATAATTTTAATGGCTTTTTATAATTAACTTGAACAAGACATGATGTGGTTCTCTTTAATAAAAGGTGAAGGAGAGTATTGTACTTCCTCTAAACCAAAATATAAAGTATCTTTTAAAAGCCTTATTTGAGCAAAAAATATGACATTGTATTGTTTTTTTTATTTTTCAACTATACCCTTACTTTATTTATTACTTATTTTGAAAAAAAAATTATGCCATGAAATTTAATTATCATCATTAAGATACTTATATAGAGTATTTAATGATGATACGATTATAAAAATGTATATAATATATAGATTATTTTGATTGTAAGGAGTTAATTTAAGAGTGTTTGTGAACTATGAGGAAATCTAAAAAACAAAATAAGGGAAGTGGGGTATGTATTATAAGGCAAGGGTAGAAGGTTAGCCCCCCTTGCAATACATGTAGTTCTATCCCTGGGTACATGGGCAATGCACTTGTCACTTGTTGATATCCTATGGTCACAGCCACATCCTTCACTAGCATGGGACTCGTTGCAATAGAGCAAGCCCTTCACTGGCTAGCCAATGACCCCAAAATTGTTGGAGCTTCTTAGATCATTTGCATTCTCATGGATGCGACATTGTTTCCAACAAGGTTTGCACGTTTGTGTTGTGTTGTCATGGGGGGCCATCTGCGACATTGTTGTTTGACACATGGCTTGCACGTTCTGACCTTCATAGTGAAGACCGGCCTAAATGGCAGTTGCCATTAAAATTTTGAAGAAAATCTTGAAAAACCAATTAAAGGAGGTAAAGATGGCCTGTGAAATCAAAAAATAAGTTCGAGAGTCGATTGATTATGGGAAAAGTAGTAGGCACTCCACAAAACCCGTTCATAAAGATGATTACTTGAAGTTTGCTAATTAATATGGTTTTAAAGTTATTTTAATTATCCCTTTCTTAGTCATATGTTTTAAGAAATGATCATGATAAAATGAAAAATATTTATTTATTTACAAGGGAGAATTTGACTCAGAATCAAATTCTGAGGCCTATATATACTGTGATGGAGATCAAAGTCCATATAGTTCGAGATTATAAATTGTTAGTAAAAATATTTTTTAAAGAGAAATTAATTAGAAATAATTCACCATTTTGCAAATAAAATAATTTTATGAAGTTTGATATGTGTGTTTTAAATTAAAAAAAAGTAATTTAATTTTAATTATTTTCTCAATTTTGAAATTTTGAAATAAGAAAAAGGTAAAGGTTTTAATTATTTTTTATATTTTATGATATGAAATTTAACCACTATATTTACAGAGCCTTATTGACTCATACGATAATGTGATTATTCTAAATATTTACAGGGATTTTGAAATTTTATACGATAAAAGAGTTTAATAACTTAATTTATTTTACTTAAATTTTTAAATATTAATATATTTTTTGACTTATACAGTAATATAATTTCTAAAGGTCTATGAAATTTTAAAAATCTCACGTGACTAAAAGATCTAATTAAAATGTTATTACAATTTAAATTATTAATTAAAAAATGTTATTACAATTTAAATTTATTAATTAAATTAATTAATATTATAAAAAATTTTATTATTTATTTACAAAAATTTTGTTTATTTTATTACTATATAAATTGAGAATCATGATATCCGTGAGGATTTATTATCACACATGATAATATACTTAATTTAATTCTCTATGAAGATTTTTGAAATCTCACATGAGACTTAAATATTTTATTAATTTAAATTATAAAAAGAGA